CATATGTGGTAAATAATGTTCTGAAAGATTCCTTACACAAGTTTCTAAAGGCCGTTCTTATGTTAGCTAACCTGGCATATGCTGCTGCTGTTATCCTCTTGATATGAGCTTCAGGGGACAGGTCTGGCGTGATATCAACCCCCAGGTCTTTCTCTCTCTCTGACTCTTGAAGTATTTCATCTCCCAAGTGATACCTTGTATCTGGTCTCCTGCTTCCTACCCCTATCTTCATTACATTACAATTGCTTGGATTAAACTCTAACAGCCATTTGTTCGACCATTCCTGCAGCTTGTCCAGATCTTCTTGAAGCCTCAAGCTGTCCTCCTCTGTCTTAATCCTTCTCATAATTTTGGCGTCGTCAGCAAACATTGAGCTTCAGCAAACAACAAACGTCAAACAAACAAATTGTGTGTGTGTTTGTGTGTGTGTGTGTGTGTGTGTGTGTGTGTGTGTGTGTGTGTGTGTGTGTGTGTGTGTGTGTGTGTGTGTGTGTGTGTGTGTGTGTGTGTGTGTGTGTGTGTGTGTGTGTGTGTGTGTGTGTGTGTGTGTGTGTGTGTGTGTGTGTGTGTGTGTGCGTGAGTGCGTGCGTGCCTGCGTGTATCCATGCCAGGCGAGTGTATAAATAAAGCAACAACGGGTGCCTGCCTCACTCCCCCAATGATCACCGAGAGGTCGCCATGGCAACATTCTCAGCCATCCTGCTGTCGGTGCTGGCGCTGGTGACGGCTGCCCAAGAGATTCAGACACTTCAAGATCTATCCAACACGCTGCTCCTCAACCAGCTGGCAATGTCCAACATGCTGGCTGAACGCGACTCCGGAACCAGAGGTAAGGAGACTACTGGAGCAGCTTCACAGTCACGTAGGAGCTACTGAAGTTTACTGCGGTAAAAATTTTAATCCAGTTGAACGATTGAGCTGTTGTTGAAGTGTGGTGTGGCGGTAAGTGTAGTTGAGTTGGATGATAGTGCTGGTGTTGGAGTGTGGTGTGGCGGTAAGTGTAGTTGAGTTGGATAATACAGCTGGTGGTGAAGTGAAGTTCACTGATTATATATCTTTAAATTAAATTTTTCTTTTCTAGTCAGTACCTTGGTCAGTTACTTGCTTATTTAATTACAATTTCCTTCTCAATAGTCGTAATAATTTGTCAACATTATAACCTAAGCTGATCACAAAGTTATCTTTAAGATAAAAGACACCGAACATTTAGGATATAACAGACATTGAAGGTTCAGGAGATCACGGTATTGCAGGTTTAGGAGACAACAGAAGGATATAAGACAGAAGCGACCAAGACTACATAAACTACTGTTAATACCTCTATTCATTACCGACCATGTTATTGTAATGTTGTTTTCGTCGTTTATATTTCAGTAATAAGAGAGTGGCTGAACGACCTGCAATCAAACATTACCTCCGGTGAGTGGCTCTTGCCTTTGTACACTTGTTCTTAATTTGTTTACGTCAACTACTCACAAAATGGTAGGTTGCAATCTGGCTCATTTCTAGTACACTTTGCTAGTGTGGTGTGGCAGAAGCACTCTGAGGAGCCAGACATTATTGAAGGACTACTTAACTGTGTATTGGCATTTCATTTGATATGTATATAGTGTACTGAGTACGTTCTTTCTCAGTTAAGAGTTCATCCTCTTAACAGATATTCCTCTTCTGGGTGTCAAGCGCCTCGACCCGTTTGAGGATCACTGCTCTGGAGGACCATTGAAACTTTTACATACCGATTTATTAACAAATTCTAGATGAATAGATTATTGTTTAATAAAGTGATTTTAAACGACCCTTCTTGACTGATAAATGTCAATTTTATAAATATTTCGCTTTCAAGATCTTAATCAGAAATTATTCACATAATTTGTTTTCCCTTTCCAGAAATAGCGGCTTTGCAGAACGTTGTTAAAGCTAATGGTGTTCCCCAAGATGCTGGTAAGGGTAATACTGTTCCCCATGGTGATAGTGAAGGTTATGGTGTTCCCTAATATGATGATGAGAATTATGGTGTTCCCCAAGATGATGGTGAGGGTTATCGTGTTCTATAATATGATGGTGAGGGTTATAGTGTTCCCCAAGATTCTGGCAAGGGTAATAGTGTTCCCCATTAGAGACAAAGAAGTTATAAAACAGCATCACTATCAACAACATTATCCAAAAACTTCACGACGAAGTTCAAAACTGCTCATCATTGCCACCAGCAGTGACCATAGGAGGTTGCACACACTTAAAGTCATCTGTATTAAGGGGCGTTCACTATTGATGAATACGTAAATTCATTTGACATCAAATATTCACTTGTCTGATGGGCCTCTTTAGCATTAAGAGAAGGCAAATGTCGTATTCGAAAACTGTTCCCCTTGTTCACCTGACCTTGTAGATCACTTGGTCACCTGACCTTGTAGTTCCCTGGTTTACCTGACCTTGTAGATCCCTTGGTCACTTGACCTTGTAGTTCCCTTGATCACCTGACCTTGTAGTTCATAGGTCTCATTAGCTAAGAGCTTACCTCACCGGAGCACAAGCTTGACATGAAAGCCAGAAAGAGATCTAACGTAGAAAGAGAACGCAGACGACACTATAAACGCAGGAAAAAAATAACGGAACTGCTTATGCAGACACGAATTTCCCGTCAAAGAAGGAATAATTTAAATAGGGAGATTGAAGAAATCGAGCGGAAATTGAAACACTCATATGAAACTGAAGAAAGGCAGTTAGAACAGAAAGCAATTCAGGAAATAAAGAAAAATCCAAAATATTTCTTCTCATATGCGAAATCAAAAGCAAAAACCACTGCCAGTATTGGACCTATTCGTACAAGTGAAGGTTTATACGCGGAGGATGACAAAGAAATTAGTGAAATCCTAAAAAAGCAGTATGAGGACATGTTGAGCACTCCAATAAACAACATGAAGGTGGAAGATCCAGACAATTTCTTTATGCGGGATATTCAAACCCCTGTAAATATAACTGATATAAACACGAGCGCACTAAATTTTGAAAAGGAAATTGAAAACATGCCCATGCACTTGGCCCCAGGTCCAGACTCATGGAATTCAATATTTATAAAGAAATGCAAAGTGCCGGTAGCACAGGCACTCAGTATAGTGTGGAGGAAGAGCTTGGACACGGGGGAGATACCAGATGCACTTAAAGTAGCAGACATAGCCCCTCTACACAAGGGAGGGAGCAAAGCATTGGCAAAAAATTATAGACCAGTTGCACTAACATCGCACATCATAAAAGTATTTGAGAGAGTGATTAGGAGTCAGGTCACCAATTTCATGGAGACCAATGACCTTCACAACCCAGGCCAACATAAATAAATAAATAAATAAATATGTTTATTCAGGTAAGGTACATACTTACATACAAGTGATGTTACATTAATGGATTGATATATAGATAGAGCTAGTACATACAATGCCTAAAGCCACTATTACGCAATGCGTTTCGGGCAAACATGGATTTCAAGCGGGAAGATCGTGCCTCTCACAGCTACTTGAGCACTACGACAAAGTCACTGAGGCATTAGAAGAGAAACAGAATGCTGATGTGATATACACGGACTTCGCAAAGGCTTTCGATAAATGTGACCATGGCGTGATAGCACACAAAATTAAGTCAATGGGAATAACCGGTAAAGTAGGACGCTGGATACTCAGTTTTCTGTCAAACAGGACTCAGCGAGTAACTGTCAACCATATAAAATCTAGTCCAAGTGCAGTGAAAAGCTCTGTACCTCAGGGTACAGTCCTTGCACCGCTGCTTTTCCTTATTCTCATATCAGATATAGACAAAAATACAAGTCACAGCTTCGTATCATCCTTTGCAGATGACACAAAAATCAGTATGAAAATTACCTCGGCTGAGGACATTGAAAAACTTCAAGCTGATATTAATAAAGTTTTCGACTGGGCATCAGAAAATAACATGATGTTTAACAGTGATAAATTCCAGGTACTCAGGTACGGTAAAAATGAGGACCTTAAACATAATACAGAGTACAAAACACAATCAAATATACCCATAGTAGGAAAACAGCATGTAAAGGATTTGGGAATAATAATGTCTGACGACCTAACGTTTAAGGAGCATAACCAAGCAAATATTGCGACAGCCAGAAAAATGATAGGATGGGTTACGAGAACTTTCAAATCCAGGGATCCCATCACAATGGTTGTACTCTTCAAGTCACTTGTGTTGTCCCGTCTTGAGTACTGCTCAGTACTCACTTCCCCCTTCAGAGCAGGAGAGATTGCTGAAATAGAGGGAATACAGAGAACATATACGGCACGCATAGACGCAATAAAGCACCTAAATTATTGGGATCGTCTCAAAGCCCTCCAAATGTACTCACTAGAAAGAAGACGAGAGAGATATCAAATAATATACACCTGGAAGATACTGGAGGGCCAAGTACCAAATCTACACAGTAAAATAACAACGTACTGGAGTGAACGACATGGAAGAAAATGTGGAATAGAACCAGTGAAGAGCAGAGGTGCCATAGGCACAATCAGAGAACACTGTATAAACATCAGAGGTCCGCGGTTGTTCAACGTCCTCCCAGCAAGCATAGGAAATATTGCCGGAACAACCGTGGACATTTTCAAGAGGAAACTAGATTTATTCCTCCAAGGAGTGCCGGACCAACCGGGCTGTGGTGGGTATGTGGGCCTGCGGGCCGCTCCAAGCAACAGCCTGGTGGACCAAACTCTCACAAGTCGAGCCCGGTTCTTCTACTCTTCTACTCCTTCTTCGGGAGTACTCCTTCTTCGGGAGTTCTTCTACTCCCCAAGCCCGGCCTCGGGCCGGGCTTGGGGAGTAGAAGAACTCCCAGAACCCCATCAACCAGGTAACCAGGTATGACCTTCATGACAAACTACATTCTACTAAAAATCTTAAGTAATGTTTCATTGAATATAAAAGCCTCGACATAAGAGTTGCCTAATATATTCATCTGCATGAGTCGTGTGCTCTGTCGCCCACAGGGGTCGTGGAGTGCGTGGCACCGTTTGTGGACGTGTATGGTCACTGTATCTTGGTGGAGACGGCACTGACGGGAACTTGGGAAACAATGAGACGTCACTGTCAGCAGAAGGGCGGCGAGATTGTCAAGGTTGACTGTGGCAACTTCATGTATTACCTCGTCAGGTACCTTCACAGTAACGGTGAGTTCTTCAGCTCAAGACCTATGTCGTTCCTGAAAACTGTATTATAGCATAATAATTTCCCTCTGATAATATTCACCTGTTCTTCAATATGTCCGCAGGTCTGGCTAAGTTGTCTTACTGGGTCGGTGGGAGAGATGAAGGCCACGAGGGATCTTACTTCTGGACTGATGGTACCCAGGTCAAGATGGGAACCCCCTTTTGGGGTGACGGCCCTAATGACAATATTCAGGAGCCCGACGGAGGAACCTCTCAAAACTGCATATTTTTGTACAAGGAAGAACATTATTTTTTCTTTGATCTTCCTTGCCACGAACTTCGTGGAGTTATTTGTGAGAAACTGAAATTGCCTTAAATTGCCATAGCTGCCTTCTATCCTTGAAGTATCAGCTGCCTCCTGACCTTGGAGTAATACTTACCACCTGACCTTGGAGTAACTCTTACCACCTGACCTTGGAGTAACATATACCTCCTGACCTTGGAGTAACACCTGCCTCCTGACCTTGGAGTAACACTTGCCTCCTGACCTTGGAGTAACTCTTACCACCTGATCTTGGAGTAACTCTTACCACCTGACCTTGGGGTAACACATACCTCCTGACCTTAGAGTAAAACCTGCTCCCTGTCCTAGCACTAACACTTGACTTGTGTCCCTCGAGGAGCACCTCCGAGACCTGGCAGGTCATCACTAGGACCAAGTGTGTACCCTGGAGCATTTATCTAATACAATATGTAATAATAAAGTGATGAGCTCTTTGATTCAAATGATAAATTATAATATACATGATTCATGAGAAAATAATTTGAGGTTCCAACTTGAACAACACATGAGCACTTCTCCAAGCTGTACAAAACATGAGCACTCCTCCAAACTGTACTGTACATGAACACTCATCCAAGCTGTACAAAACATGAGCACTCCTCCAAACTGTACAGCACATGAGCACTCCTCCAAACTGTACAACACATGAGAACTCCTCCAAGCTATACAACACATGAGCACTCCTCCAAGCTGTACTGCACATGCACACTCCTGCAAGCTGTATTGCTCATGAGCACTCCTCCAAGCTGTACAATACATGAGCACTCCTGCAAGCTGTACTGCTCATGAGCACTCCTCCAAGCTGTACAGCACATGAACACTCCTCCAAGCTGTGTTACTCATGAACACTCCTCCAAGCTGTACAACACATGAGCACTCCTCCAAGCTGTACTGCTCATGAGCACTCCAAGTGTACAGCACCTAGGCATTCCTCCTAGCTGTACTGTTCATGATCACTTCTTGAAGCTATATTAATAAATAAGCCAATTTTCCTTAACCTAACCCTTAACTAGGGGCCTTATCTTCCCTCCCCTCTTTCCTCGAAAATTAGGGTAAATTATGGATAATTAAGGTGAAAATATAGTTTCACATATTATCCAAATTTATCCTTATTTAACCCTAATTTATCTCTAATGAACCCTAATTTATATAATATTATCTTTATTTATAAAATATTATCTTAATTTATGTCACATTATTTAAATTTAGGTCATATTATCTTAATTTATGTCCTATTGTCTTAATTTATGACATATCCTAATTTATCCATATTTGACCTTTATTTATGTTATATTATCTAAATTTATCCCTAATTTATTCTTATTTATGACATATTACCCTAATTTATAATAATTTAGAAAATGTAGAGGAGTCTTGTCTTCTTTTATGTGCTAGCCATATGCTGTATTGTGCCTACCAATTTTTGTCAACTACCATTCAAGCTGTCATTGCAATCAATCTTAGCTACCTATGTGCTTTAATATACTGTACCTACAATTTTCTCTCATCTTTTTTTTTCTTGCCATGTAACTGTTATCATTTTTTTTTATAAATTTTGCAAGTATTTACCTACTTAAAATTTTCTTAGACTAAGGACCTGCCCGAAACGCTACGCGTGCTAGTGGTTTACAAGACTGTAATTACCATTTTATGTATCCTCACATTCCCAATGTACCTTCTTGTATATGCATAAATAAATAGATAAATAAATAAATATATAGAATAATTTCCAGGTAAAGGAGGGGTGGGGGTTTATAAAGCCCTTAATTATAGGTTAGGTTAAGGAAAATTTGATTATTTAATGATATAGATATAGTGAATCTTATCGCTTTCCTAAGAATATGTGTAAAATGGAGTTCAGACCGAGGTGTATAAAGTTAGGTAGAGGCTGGTTAAGTTGAGCCTATGAAGAGAAAATGCCCAATAAAAACACATTTCCATTAACCCGGGTAATTGAGGTTTGGGTTGGCTGGCTTGGTTATATTGATGTAAAAACAAACAAAAACAAACATGGCTAAGAATAAGATGCAACACTGAACCAAGATTCCGGTATCAGAGGTTAGGTCCAGGGCGGTTGGGTTGATGTAAAAAACACTTTCCCAAAAATGACGTTAGGTCAAGGCAGGTTAGGTTCATGGTTGATGAGTCCATATCGAAAACAAAACATTGCCAGGAATATTGAACAAAGATCCTGGCAGGTTAGGAACAGGGTATCTGAGTTGATGTGTAAAATAAACACTTTTCTAGCAATACAGTTGCAATATTGAACATAGATCCAGGCAGGTTTAGCACAGGGCAGTTAGGTGCATATTCAAAACAACACTTTTCTAAGAATATAGATACAATATTCAACAAAGTTCCAAGCAGGTTAGGTACAAGTCATTTAGGTTTTTTTTTATCCAAAATCAACCCTTTCTTAACAATGAAGTTGCAATATTCAGCAAAGAGCCATGCATGTTAGGCACATGTCTGTTAGGTTTATAACCCAAATTAACACTTTCACAAGAATATGGCAAATTAAAGGTTAGGCCCTAGGTGGTTATGTTGTGGTAATATGAGAAAAATGCCATGTAACTACAAGGTAATATTACACACTTGTGTAATACTGAGTGAAAATGTGTGTTTTATGCTGAGTGTTATAATTTCGTCTATTTTTAGTTTATGTATAAGTGCAACATTGCGTGTGTGTGTGTATAGTGATTAATTGATGTGATATAGTGATTAATTATGTAATTAATTGTTGTATCTTAGTACGACTTTTATCTCAAATTATTATTAAACTGATTTTTATATTTCAATGCATCATAAACACCATGGTTCAACCATATGAACTGTATATAGGTTAGCATTTAATCATGTAATTACGATTTTTGGTGTGTTTGAATAAATAAGGGTAGTTAACAATATTTTTGGACTTGCTTGAATATTATGCTTACTTTGCTGATTGTCATGCATCAAAATGAATTAACAGTACAAAAGTTTAAGATCACTTGGGGTAAATGAGCTGTTGGGATACTGAAATCATGTTCTTAATACATTCTAGGAATTAATATGTTATCAATTACATCTGACTAAATGGGGTAAAGGTGGCAAAAACAGGCTATTGTCTAAGCATGTATGGATTGTGGAGTATGTATGTATGTATGTATGTATGTATGTATGTATGTATGTATGTATGTATGTATGTATGTATGTATGTATGTATGTATGTATGTATGTATGCATGCATGTATGTATGTATGTATGTATGTATGTATGTATGTATGTATGTATGTATGTATGTATGTATGTATGTATGTATGTATGTATGTAAGTATGTATGTGTGTATTGTGACGGTGTCCCACGCCTATATTTCTCCTAACCCAGCTTAAAGAGTCATATCTTCATAAACTGAGCGTTCTCTGAGATCCAGGAAACATTTTCATATATGTGAGAGTGTGGAGAGTTATCAGGTTGACTGTGAAATTGCATTTAAGTTTGATTATGCAAGGGGCTCACTCCCTTTTGAGTCACAAGATGGCTCCGAGCCATTCTGTTTCCCGCCAAAGCGTTGCGGCGCCTGCCGGCACCTGATTGGTCAGGTAGGATCACGTGCCGGAAGTGACCAATGACGAGAGCTGTCGGGCGGTGTGACGTCACAAGGAGGAGGGCTCCTAGGGCGGCTGGCGCCTGGGTGGGCAGAGTACGTCACGGACCCTCACAAAGTGAGGACGCGTTCCAGTGAGCTCCCGATCTAGAGGCCAGAGAGCCCCTACCAGTGGATTAAAGCATCACTTTGATACTGCAGACATCCCGTGGAGTGCCAAGAAGCAAGGATTGGCCGGGCTGGAGAGTCAAGAGCTCCATTATCAAGAGTCTGCAGCAGGGACGAACGTTGGGCTGGAGACGTCTGGGACGCCCAGCGGACCACGTTCTACATATCAAGCGAGTAGTGACGGCCGGGCCGAATCTACTGAAAGTAAGGCAAGGGGAAGCTGTACTGGACTGCAAGTGTGTCTACAGTGCCAGCGAGAGGAGGAGGACGAGGACGACAGCTCAGGTACCTGACTCCAGTACCCCGAAGAAGAGGAGGACAGTCCCTGCTGTGTGAGGACGGCAAAGACGCACTACTATGAGGACGACTGAGGAACTCGTGTGTATGGGAACTAATCAACGAAAGACCAGAAGCCAGGACCGGGAACACCAACATCCCTCGCCAGAGGACGAGTCAGCTTCGTAATGGAATGAAGTAAGGTAGATAGTTATCCCTCCTTTTACCCCTTTGATCTAGGCGAGCTAGGATATTCTGTATATCGTGAACATTTCTTGTTACCATTTATTGTCTATATGATAGTGTTAGGCTAGGAGCCAAGTAGCTCATGTAGGCATGAGTTGGTGGTGGAACATAAATATATAGATGCGGTGACGTCAGTGTATCTGGAAGTAGTGGCTGGTTTTCAAGAAGCCAGAAACGAACTTTGAATCGTTCAGCTGATCATGTTGCCAGAGGCACGAGGTGTGTTCCCGCCGATCTGACAGTTGGACCCAGCCAGCTGATAGTGTTGCCAGAGGCGCGAGGTGTGCCCCGCTCTCTGACAGTTGGACCCAGTCAGCTGATCGTGTTGCCAGAGGCGCGAGGTGTGTGCCCGCCGACTGACAAGTGGACCCAGTCAGCTGACCGTGTTGCCAGAGACGCAACGAGAGGGGTGTTGCCGCCATCAGACAATTCCACCTATATTATTTCCTTATGCAAATGTGTATATTTTCTTCAGTAAACTTTTAATCTTACCAATGAGTTTGAGTGAGCCTCCATTCTCTAGGGCCATTTTGAGTGAAACCATTTATGTCACCTTGCACTGCACACGAGATTTCATCCATGATTTAAGATAACTAATGAGACCACTGACGTGTCGCTGGGACACGAGTATAAGCACCCAGCTGGTGACCTAGAGCAGACCAAATAGAGATAGAGAGAGTGTCCCAGTGTCAAGACGGGCAGGTTCAGGTGTGATACAGTTGGACTTGAACCTCTCCACTCGCTAGGGGTATATATAAGGCCAGCCCTTAGTAGACTTGGGGGCCCTGGGGCGAGCAGTGGCGCCTGGTATGGAGGGGCGAAGATCCGCGGGAACAGCCCCAACCATATAAGGTAGGAAGGGGTGAGAACCTTGACAGTATGTATATATGTAATTTTTAGTGTGTGTATGAATGTATTTGTGACTGTTGCTTTAGAAAGCAGGATAACTAATTTGTGGAGAAATATTAGGATTTTTGAGGTCTTGGAATGAATATAGTGACTAGTCCCCAGTTGAGTTACCAGATTTAGAAATTGCGGTACGATATTTGGGCAGCTAATTAGGTTAAACATAGCACTGCAAAATAAATGATTTACAGTTGAATGTGTGTTTTTGTGTAATTTTTAGAGGTTTGTTAATGCCAGTAACTCTGCTCACAGACCAATCGCACAGAGTTGCCAAATGAACGATAACAACCTGTGGAATATAGTACATCATTTTTCATCAGGGTGTTATCGTTATTGTTGTTGTGTAGGAATCAATCAGACTCAGAAATGGTTGAGTAACTGCTGTAAATCTCCCGGCAATAATCCAGCACTGTGATTACTGAGATTGTCATCTAAAACATTGTGTTTCCCCATTGTAGTAGTTTTGTTAAAACTAGAATTTAAAGTAATAATTATAATACAAATAAAAAAAAATGTATAAATGCATATTCTTAAACCGTTGATGAGGTTAGATTTGGGTTGGATAGTTTTATTATTTGAAGAATATTATTATTAAATATAACACCACTGGAGTTATAATTAAATTCAGAGATAACACTATCAATGGAGTCCAAAAAATGTGTAAGTACTTCATTCATAATGATGTACTGCCAGGAATCTTAGCCAAGTATCCAAAATTTGCTTACTGTAGGTGCAGCCCAGTTGATTGTATGACTGTAAAGCTGCCACCCAGTTGGGTGGGTGAGTAGAGAATTTGGTGACAGATAGAGCCACCTATGTAGGGCAATCAGATAAGAAAATCAGAAGCGGAGTGCCACATAGAGCCACTCCATATTAGGTCATCCGAGGTGTGAGTGGTAGCAGTCGAAAAACAGTGAAGATAGGTATCTATTATGTACCGCTATGATCATGTTCATTTATACAGTAAAGTATGACAGTATATTTAAGTAAAAAATGAATTTATCTGTATAATAAACACACACAGGTGAGTGCCAGTTACGCCCCCACATTCCTCTATGGGACAGGTGTAAAAACAGGTTCCTCTCAGTAGGGGTGGTCGCCCGTACCCTTCCTCGCACCTAATGACCTTGACTTTACCGTAACAGAGTTCCACACCCAGTGGGGTTGTGTGGGTCTTATATAAGAGTATTTAAGGAGTACTAAATTATAAATCTCCCAGGGGTTAAAAAACTCAAAGAATTTATTAATGCTTTATTAGGTAAAAATCACAAATGATGTATAAGAAGTTAATTATGATAGTTAATAATTGTAGTTATGGATTCCTCACTCTTATTCCTCACTCCCCTCCACCTCCCCATCCTTATCTGAGTAGAATTCTGACGTCTCCCCATCTGTGGTGAGTGGGGGGAGGTCTTGACCCCCCCCCCTCTCTTGGGGGTGTGGGGTGAGTTGGGTGGTTGCTTTTTGGTTGAGTTTCCTTCTCCCCCGCATCTGAAGTGTTCTGGGAAGAGATGAGGGAAATAATTTATAGTGAATAAAGGTTTTTATAGGATTATATCTTTTATTCGAAAAATATTCTATTTCCTCTAAGAACGGCTAGTACATACCTCTCCCCCTGCAGGAGCGACCTTGTGTCCTCTACAGCAGGCATCATCAATTAGGCTACGTAACAGCATCTTGTTTGGGGCAGACCCCCCACGTAGAATTACTACTCTACAAATGTGGATGGGTCCCAAGAACTGTACTGAAAAAAATAAAGAGGTAAAATAGAGGATGTACAAACTTTTTATTGTGGGGAAAAAAATATAAATAAATCTTTACCAGAAAGTGAGGGTAATACTAACCAGGCCCTTCAAGGACTTCAATCTTCCCTGTGGGTGTTTTTGGAGAGACACCTTCCATTTGTAGGATGAGGAGGTCGGAGGTCTTCTGGGGTAGGTTGTGGGGTGAGAGGGGTTTTTATAGGGGGTAATCCCCCCCCTCTTGTTAGGTAGGTTGCCTAGCTAACAAAAATATTATCTACACCACCTATAAGAACCAACCCCTACACCTCTACAAAATGTCCTAACACAATGATGTTTCATAGGGAAATATCGTCTCGCATAAGCGAGGGCTCGTTTATCATTTAATTTTAAAGTAACGCTGGAAAATACATTATGTAAGTAATGTACTGTTGAAGGCAACCCCAGGTGGCTTATCCTGTGAACAAACATGACGCAATATAAGCCACAGGCAAGAGTAAAATCACTCTGGAGTCTGTACCACATTCCAAACGCCTCTGTTATTTTGTTAGTTTTAATATATCCCTGAAAATAATGCCCATAAGTAACCGCCGACATTGCATAACTATCGAAAAAAAACATTCGATGTTTAACTTTATCAACATAAATAGCTACCCAATGTCCCATAGTTAATCTGCAGTGTGATGGTAAAATATTAGTTATGAGGACGATAGGTTTTCTTGATGAGATATTTAAATGTTCTATTTCGTCTGCATTATAACAACCTAGGTAGAGCGCTCGATCCCCTAGATTATTTTTTAAATTAATATTTATATCATAACAATTCATTATGTTTTTAAGCTCGCACGTCACATAGAACAGTTCTCGATGGAAAGTACCCCAGTCGTTTCCCCAAACAGTAAAACCAGTCTGTTATATGTAACACTGCCACCAAATTCAAGCTCCATACACAAGTTGCCAGATTTCTCCACAGGGAGGGAATCCTTTGTTTGAATGGTGGTTAAGTCAAAGGCGAATATTGATCTCCCCTTATTAAAAGTGTCATAGCCTTGTAGTGAATCACCCTAATGTCTTCAAAGTTTCGTAATATAGGCGGGAATAATGAATGTCGAAATCACCACCAATTCGGTAAATTGCATTATTGTTCAAATACATAGCAATATTTTTCAGCTTTGCATTTTCAAAATATAATCCATTACCTTGGTGAAGGCCGGCATAATAATTCATTGTTATTATAACCATATATATCTTGTGCGGAATTATTTGCGCCCAAGGCTGATCAATTAAGAGACTAGTTTGATTCCCCGCTAGGACATATGTTTTAGAAATGGTTCTATTGAAAGTATAGCTTATAGGGTCAGGGGATGCTAACAGTGAGCTGTTTAAGGCTAGGTAGGCACTTGGGTAGGGGAACACTTGTGTTACCCATAACTTAGCATAATCCATATGCAAGCGATACTTAGAGCCATCGTCCACACGTATTTAGCACCCAAGCATGTGGGGAGAGCTCCAATCTTAGACGCACATCTATATTATCTAATATGTATTGGTCTAGGGTTGTTACGTCCAATATTAGGGGAAAACACATTGACAAACCTTTACCTTTTAAATCAGACATAAATTTTTTATCCTTTGCGGTTGCTCCAGTAAAAAATGTATTAGTAAATTCGTTAGGGATTATACCATCGTCATCACTCCAGTCCCTACGAAAGGCTCCAATTCTCCCCAAGGAAGACATTTTTGATGGAGGCAAGGAGGTAATTAATTTAATAAACGACCAATAATTAAAATTAGAATTTGTTTCAACTACCTGCTCTCCTAAAAACACCTGAACACCTTTAAACATTGTATTTGACAACCCATTCACAAATTCCACATGGTCATCCTCTTCCAATTTTGTGGTATCGTCATCTTTCGTTATAGATACCTTAAAATCTATAACAATATTAGTTAGATCTAAGAAGGCGCCTTGGGTTCCAGGGATGTGGAATTCTAAGTAATTATCCCGCAAACGTTGATTAATGGGGAGGTTGACAGGTAGAATGTCTATTTGCTGCGTAGAGGCAATTGAACTTTCCACATTACGTATTCTGTTACTTCTAGGAAATTGGTCAATAATACTGGAGCTATAATATTCTAGTGGTATTTTCACCCCAGCTCCACTAGCCTCCGCCATGATCTCCTCCGAAAGGTGAAGTATGACTGCTTACTATAGTGAAAATACGTCATTTTTATACCCAAGACCTCGTTTACATTTTTTATTTTTATTTTTTATTCTCCTAGAGAGTCTTTTAATTTTCCCGCCTGTTACCAATTTCTTCCCCACAGTCTTAAGAGCATCAATACTGTGAGTTCTCAGAGCGCTCTTTACATCCCGTTTACCACTGGTTAAATCACCAAGAACATTTTTCCCAAAATCGATAGCACTCGGTGTTACAGCTTTCATGAAAAATGGTATGGCCCGTCGAGCCAAGCCAGCCAAGGTTCCAAAAAAAACACCACCAGATCTGAGATAAGGTGCTTGGAATGTACGTATGTCATTCATCGCTTCCCCTCTCATCCCATGTCTCCTAGAGAGAGGAGAGAAGATCTCCCCGAATTCCTTTTGAGAAGGTAGGTGGAATGGTACACGCATTCCGACACCTCTTCTTATAATAACCGAAGTCGTGGGTAAACACTTCTATATATATTTATATTTATATATATAGATTATATTGCTATACTTTAGGGCGGATATGCAAGACTGCTGTAACCGACCTCCCATCTTCAAAACTAACCATTCGCCCAAACTGATCTGTTATTTTAATACTTTCTCCAACGTGTTAGTATTAAATATCTTGTAC